TTTGACATACTTGGGTGCTGGGGCCTTAGTTACTCTGGTTTGACATAAAGATGACATTCTCCTGGTCTTCGTGGCCCTCATGGGGAATTGAGCCGTCACTGTCTGCTCGGTTCCAGGGCCTCATCTTCACGAGCACTAATTACGTATTTTCTTCTGACTGCCACACGGGCTGTCATGAGGTGCAGCGAACGGTTCCTCCTACCCAGCTACTCAGCACGCCACCAGCAAACAGGTCGGGCTCAGACCTCAAGGCTTTCATGGTTGACTTGTTCTCAGTTGCATGTGTGGAGATGAAGCCTCTGCATATCCTTTGGTCACTGGGGCCATTTTCTGCCATCAGGTTGTTCAGGACAGCTGGGCATGGTGGCAGACGCCTTTAATCCCAGTGCTCTGGAGGCAGAAGCAGTAGAGTGGATCTCTGTGGGTTGGAGGCCAGCCTGGTCTAAAGAATGAGTTCCAGGAAAGCCAGGGCGACAGAAACAAGACCAAAACCAAAACCATTGTTTGGATCAGGCTCCACTTGAGGCCTTCTGAGCCAGTCCTGCAGTAAGAAGCTCGTGTTAATATGGTTTGCTCGCTGTAACACACCACGAGCTTAGTGGTTTGAAACAACATACGCTTATTTTTAGAATCCCAGCAGCCAGAAAACGAGAATTATGGTATCAGCACTGCATGTCTCCTAGAGAATCACAAGATGGGTTCCCCTGCCTGCATTCCTTGGTTTGCAGTCCTTCCTCGTTACCACCCAGACTTCTTGTTATTACAACTGTGGTTGAGATCTCCCTCTGCCTCCCTTTTAAAAAGGGATCCTAGCTACCCTCCCTGTCTCTGCATCCTTAATCAGATCAGTAAAGCCCCTTCTGCTATCGGGATGCTATGTGGACATCTTCAGAGTCGGTTATGCGGCCTGTTATGGTGCTAAATATAGCCTTTGCACAGCCTTGGTGACGACCACGGGTGAGGAGAGCCGGGCAGAGTCACAAGGTGCAGAGAACATGGAGACTTAGCCCTGTCTCCCACTGTGATCAATCTGAGGACGCCCAAAGCTGTCCTCTCTCCCTTCCTCCCATCCCCACGGTCCTCGACATTGTTCCGAGGGCCTCAGAGTTCACGGCAACGCTTCCTTATCCTGAAAAAAAAAAAAAAAAAGAGATCCAGTAAGATTTGCATTTTTTGCCTTTTTTTTTCCTTCTAAGTCTATCTTAACTCGAAACTGAGGCCTGTGGCATGTTGACAGAGCGCCGTCACCAGGTAACAGCACCATATTCCTTGGCTAATACGTTCTTGCACAAAGTTCCTTCTCACCCTTCAGCTCATCTGGGCTTAGGAAGGGGAGGGTGATGTCTCAGTTGTAAAACTATGGCTGAAGACAGACGGGACACAGATCAGAAGGAAGTGCCGCCACCCGGATTTGGTGAATGGGATTTACACACTACTGGAGGATTGGCTGGACTTTGCACCTCTTTCAACATGGGGAATAGAAAGGAGCCAACTGAAGTTCAATAAATAAATGGGGGCCAAGGTTAGGTTTGGAAGTGGGGTTAGTTTGCTTTTGGGATATGTAGTGATATATCATTGAGATGCCTAATAACTACTTCAGGGAGATTATGATTACAAAACAGGAGAATATTAGTCCAGAACCCTGGGGACTAATATTCCCCAGGATATTTTGGACCCAGTAGGTTGTGGGTACGTTAAGTGAGCAGGAACAGAAGACCTTTCTCAGGGAGGCTAGATGGAATTCTAAGTTGTCCGAAGTATTGTCACTTGTGTCAGAATCAAGGAGCCTGCTGAAAACAGAACTTTCGCTGTGAGTGTACTTAATGCCATAGAACTGTATACTTAAAAATGGCCAGCATGTGGGCTGGAGAGATGGCTCAGAGGCCAACAGCACTGGCTGCTCTTGCAGAATCAGGAGCCCATGCACTCACATGGTAGTGGCTGACAATCATTTCTTAACTCCAGTCCCGGGGGAATCTGATGCCCTCTTCTGGCCTCTTTGGGAACTGCATGCACATGGTCCATAGATATTCATGCAGACAAAACAAAATACACAGGAGACAGTCAAAGCTACATAGAGATACCTTGTCTTAAAAACAAAACAAAAATCAAAAAAGTAAAACACAACAGAAGCAGGCTGGGGATGCAGCTCACTGGCAGAGTGACTGCCGAGTGTCTGCAAGGTCTGGGCTGTGCTTGATCCTTAGTCCTGAAAAGTAGAGGGTGCGAGGGAAAAGTGGGATTACTGAGCTGTACTGCAGACCCAAATTGCTATCTACCTCAGGGTTAATAACACTCTTAAGCTATATCCAGAGCCATGAATATCTGTTGTCATTACTTAAAAAAAAAAAAAAAAAAAGAGAGAGAGGGACTCAGATAGCCCAGGCTGGCCTTAAACTATGCTAAAGCTGTCCTTGAACTCCTGATCCTCCCGCCCCTGGCTGTCAAGTGCCTAGATTACAGGCATCCGCCACTATACCCAGTTTCTAAGTGGTTTTTAAATACCAGTTAGCACATCTCTCTAGTATCTCTAAGTACTGTGCCATGGCTTGTCCGGCTCTAGATATCTTCCCGATTGGCCACTTCCTGTAGCCAGTCCTGTGCCTCGCCATCACTTGCAGATTTCATTGTGAAGCTTTGCCTCAGTCAGGTCCAGTAAGTCCAGAAAATGCCCGAAGAAACCAGATCAGATTTTAAGGAACTCAAAGAAACGACACAGTCTTCCTTTTTTTTTTTTTTAATAAATAACCCCTTGGAGCTGGAGATGAGGTTCGGTCATAGACTCGCTGACGAGCACACCCGATACCCGAATGATCCTCAGCAAACAAAACAACTTCCAAAAGCAGTTTCACTCCTCAGGAATACAATCTCTATCCAGCTGCCTCGTTCACTGTTCTATGAACTCATTCCCCGCAGGGGCTATTCCAAACAACCGGGAACACAGACAGAGTCTTTCAGCCGCTTGCTTCAAACACTTTGCCAAAAGTTCCTGCCAAGTCTCAAGGCTGCCTGCAGGATGCAAACACCAGTCTCAGTATAGAAGGTCCAGGATATCTCTTTACTGGTCTGTCCCACTGTCTTCAGAATCTTAATCTGTCCGCGTCTCTTCTGTCGACGATTCAGGGATTGCCTGAGTCTCGTGGGGTGTGCTTTGCTCTGAAGAGCAGAAGGCTTCGGTCCCAACTGGTGTTGCCAAAGCAGCGCGCTAACTCCATCCCATAGTCCTGGGTCAGGATTCGCACGATCTGGCTGGCCATATCACCTCGGATGGCCAACGAGCGGAAGTGATCAAACTTGTGGAGTCCCAGCTTGCGTAGGCGCCTTGCAGCTGCCCGGTAACACTTCCAGGGCTGTGGCTCGACGAGGAGGTAGCTGCAGAGAGAGGAGATATGGGCCAGGAACTCGCACAGACCACGGTCCCCATGGTTCAGATGAATCCACATAGTTACTGACATGCAGAAGACGATGTCAAAAACGGAACGCCCAAACTGGCTTAAGAAAGAACTCAAGGGAACCTTCCTGTTCTCTTGATCCATGATGTCCAGGGTGATAAAGGTCAAACCATCAGGAAAGGGACAGTCTTTTACAGCCCGCTCCACAAGGACTGGATCTATATCACAGCAGAGGAGGCGGAGTTCTCTGGAAGCGCCGGAGGAGCAGGTGTCCCCATCGTTCAGGGAAAGGAAATGTTTGTACAAAGCCACACTCAGATCCTAGGGGAATCCAAAAGATTCAGCTCTGTAACAGTGAGTGGAAAAGAAATCTCTCATCCTTTGAGATCGCCACTGACCTCTGCCTGTACCGGATGTGAGGCTCTTAACATAATAATCTATAGATACATTTTTTTCATGAGCAGACTCTTAGCGCCCCCTAGGGGCTGCAGTCTATAATGCACCCACCCTGTATCTTACATTCAGTTTTTACCTTTTTTTTGGTTTTTCGAGACAGGGTTTCTCTGTGTAGCCCTGGCTGTCCTGGAACTCACTCTGTAGACCAGGCTGGCCTCGAACTCAGAAATCCGCCTGCCTCTGCCTCCCAAGTGCTGGGACTAAAGGTGTGTGCCACCACTGCCCGGCTTACCTTTTCTTTCTTTTTCCTTTTTTTTTAAAATTAGTCTTAAGTGACTCAACTCAAACTCACTATGTAGCTAAGGCTATCCCTGAACTCTGTGTCTTGAGTGATACATGATTACAGGAATGCACCGTGTGTGCCTGGCCACCTGTATCCTGACCCTGCTAACAGTTTGAGTTATACAGTTGGAAGTTATAGACCAAATGATGTGGCAAAGGCAGCAAAGAATCCTGGGGCAGTGTTTCCCAGCTTAAATAATATATTGGTAAATTCATTATCCTTTTCTGGTGTCTCCTATCCAAAGGGAAGGAATCCAGAAGTGTGAGTGGTGTCCCTCGTCAGGAACGTGGCAAATAAAGTAGCATCTTGTAAAAACCTGTTTCTCAGATGGCGGTGGTGTTGGCAAAGTCTGGGCTCTAGGAAGCGCTCATCCGGCCTTTACCTCTACAGTGTGAGCTTGTGCCACTTCCTGAAGCCACCACTCTTAAAAGTCACCGTGGGTCTTTCTAGCTAGAGTATAATGATCTGATCTCACCACCCATCTTAGCGCGCTTCTGACTCTCCAACGAGACACCATCTCTTCCCCCGACTGTAACTAATTCAAACGAGTGGTTTTGGGTTGTCTCTTCCATGGCATTTCCCTGTCACCTCTGCAACTCAACAACTGCAGGTGAAGAACGCACACGGTAGGAACCACTCAGCTGTTCACTAGCAGCGCCCCCAGCCAAGTGTGAGTGAGTCCTTGCCATAGGGTATTAGTGATAACAGTGTAAAGCTGAGAAGATTGGCTCGACACACCCAAGTAGAACACTTTCAAAGACACACTGCCGAAGAGAAAATCAAGTCACGGAGAAAATGAATGATATATGGCGAGTTTCCTCTTTCCTTTTTTAAATAAGTCTCACTAGGTAGACCAGGCTGATCTCCTAGCAGTTTGTGATCCCCCAGCCTCAGCTTCCTAAATGCTGGCATTACAGGTATGGACTGCCAGACAAGTTTTCCTTTATACAAATTCCCAAAGTGGGAAAATTAAACTATATTGTTTAGGGTTAGAAATGGAGTAAGATTAAAAATAAAATAAAGGAAACGAGTAATATATAAACAAAAGCAAGACAATAACAGGCTAATTGTTACCTGTGGGTAGAGGGCGCTGTTAAAATAGGAAACAGCATATAAAGGTCTCTAGGAATTGACAATCCTTTATTTATTTAGTTATTTATTTATTTGCTCTGACAGTGGTCACAATGGTGTTTACCTTATAGTTTATAAAGTACAAACCTACGTTTTATGTACTTTTATGAAAGTATAGAATAATTCTCATTAAACTCCGCATTTTAAAAAAACTATGGCTTGAGGTTGTTTATTTAGCTAAAGTCACATGGCCACTAATAATAATAAAACTTCAACTACATTAAAGTTCCTTTTTTTGCCGGGCGGTGGTGGCGCACGCCTTTAATCCCAGCACTTGGGAGGTGGAGGCAGGTGGATTTCTCAGTTCGAGAGTTCAAGGCCAACCTGGTCTACAGAGTGAGTTCCAGGACAGCCAGGGCTACACCGAGAAACCCTGTCTCGAAAAAACCAAAAAAAAAAAAAAGTTCCTTTTTTTCAGACTAGGCTTCCCTAACTACTTTAAAAACTACCTTTTGTATGTGTATGCATATGTCTTAGTGCTCACCTAGGCTATATGCGTACGGGTGCCCAGAGGGGCCAGAAGAGGATTTCAGCTCCGCTGGAATTGGAGCTCCAGGTGGTCGTGAGCTGTCTGACAGGGATGCTGGGAATGGAACTCAGGTCCTCTGGAGGAGCAGAAGCACTCTGAAGAATGGAGCTGAATCCCTAGCACCCCTTCTAACTTAACGGTATACCACTTACCTAGGTGGCCATCTTAAAATACAGATGCTGACTTAGTGGGGGGGGGAGGAAGGCTGAGATTCTGTGTTCCTAATAAACTGCAAAGTCACACTAACGTTGCAGTTCAGAGTCACAGTTGAAGGCACAATGACCCACACCACGACACTATATTTCCTCCTACCCTGATTTGCTTCCCTCCTATCTGACGAGTATTTTTGAGGCTGGCATGGTCTACAAATTGAGGGCATCTGGGACGTGCACTAGGACCCTTGCTATGCAGCGAGACCTTGTGTAAAACAAAGATGAATGAATAAATGCGTAAATAAATAAATAAATAAATGTCCAAAAATAAACTTGAGAACAACCACCTTAGTCAATCGCAACAGTGTCCTTTCTATTGTGCTTCTATGTACACTGCTTACAATTTTAAAATCATTTTAAAAATGTTTTTATTATCCATTTTTCCTGCTGGTTTCCTATATTATGGTGGCATTTACAAGGGACGCACACCCGGCTGCTTATTTGAGTCTATATGAAAAAGCTCTCCTTGGTGTCTCAAGGTTTTCACCACCCACCAATGTCTCTTTGTTGTAGCTTTTGGAAACAGGGTCTCAGTAGCCTAGGCTAGCTTCAGACTTGTGGGGATGCCCGTACTTGTCCTCTGAGGGCTAGAATCACACGTGGGTGAAAGGCCATCACTGTCAAGGTCTCTCTATCCCGACTGTGGAGCGAGGGTCTTAACCATTTGCCATCACTAGTTAAAACTGCCTGCTTCACCGAGACGTCCACTAACTAGCTACGAATAGGTGAGACTGGCACTTCCTTATTTTTGCTGTGGTTTGACTTTAATCATTACATGTCTGAAAACACTTTGCGGTGGAAAGGGTGGTTTAGGCCTCCCTCCTCTGGCAGAATGATCTATTTTCTTTCTTGATCCCTCTCGACTGTTCACCGTTGTACTCTGTTAGCACAAGTTTAAGTAAATACAGACCTGGCTCCAGGTCTGTCCTGCACTGTGTATCTGGAGCCTTAAGTGTCAGACATGATTCCGGCACCCTGGCTCTTATCTTTTAGGAACTAGGATTCCCAGATGGGGGTCCCCGTCCCCCAGCCAAGAAGACCGGCAAAGCAGAAGAGGAGGCAAACGCCGGAAGTCCAGATCAGACGGTCCTCCTCCCCAGCGGTCTGGCGGGAATTTTTGGAATGAATTGTGGATGGCTGAAAATACCTCACTCGCTGGTGGGGCCCCAGAGGGAGGGCTGGGACGTGCGCGTGTCTGTCAACGCTATACTTTGCCCACTCTGGGCGAGTTCTGATGCCACGCCCAGGCCAGCAGCACTCCGATCCCTCCCGCGTCACTCACCCCGGAGTTACACCCCACGTCGAGCCCTAGGATCGGCCTCCTCTCGGGACCCTCGGGAGGGAAGAGCTGTCGAAGAAGCTCCGGGGGCAGAAGGCGGAGCCTTTGCTCGGGAGGGTGGAAGCGGGAATAATGAGGGAAATTTCCAAACGGGGCAGCCCCGGGCTTCAGAGGCCCGGCATCTTCTTCCTCCACGGTCTCTTCAACGCCCCCTCTTGACAACTTCTCTTCTGCCGCCATCACCATCGGTTCCTAGATCGAGGCGGAACCGGAAATCTGGAACCTGCGGCGGGAGAAGGCGAGCGTAGCGGCAGCGCGCGTGCGCCTAGGGGAGAGGTTGGAAAGATGGTGAGCTTGGATAGTTGAGAAGACCCCAGTGT